ACATCTTTTGAAGCTGCAAAGCACAGTTTTGGACTTAGCTTAACCAGCTCGGTTCCCCTAGGGGAACCGAGAAGATGAATATCCCAAACCTGTCATTCTGCCGAGCCTGCCTTTAAGCTTAAATTGATGCAAATCTTTGTATATCGAACTTCTCTAATTGGCTGGGTTACGCTAGGCGCATGGTAAGGATTCATTGTATTCCATGCTGTTTTCCTCGTGAGTGTGTGACTCAGTGCTTTAGTGTAGCCATTTACGATAGAAAGCATCTGATAAAAAGTTTTTTGAAGGAACTTTTCTGAAAGAAAACTGACAGCCAAGTTTCAATCAAAAATGTGAATTACTATTGTCAACTTACTGTAATTCACAAGTAGTGTCAAGGCAAGCAGATTGACAGTAAGCACATATAGTCCAGCTTCAATCCATCTGAAAGTTCCACCCCTTTGTAGTAAAGCTTTATTTTCAAAATAACATCAAAACTTCCTCACAAAATTTATTTCAAAAGAATAACATATTATGAAAAATACTGTCTGCTATCAAAGCGATAACAATCTATAACAAATGTTGTGTGTGGGCAACGATACGTAGCGAGAAGAAACTAGGCGAGACGAGGCTGAAATTTTTTGTTTTGAACTGGAAATTTCTATCATGGATACCTACCTACAAATGAACATCCAGTGGATATTTACACGTGATTTAGGCGCTTTAATCGGATTCTCCGGCCATCAACTCCCAGAACTCTAAAAAATGGGGCCTCAGGCAGTGGCAGGTGGTAAATGTGAAGCTCTAAAGCAGACAAGATGTCCAACCTTCAAATTCGATCTTTCCAGAACCATCCTCATCGATTTCATCTACAGCCTCATCTAGTTGTTGATCAGTCAAGTCATCGGCAATCTCTTTCAACAAAGCTTTCAGTGTCGGTCGAGAAATGTAACCGTTACCCTAGAATAAGCTTTTTACAAGATATTTGAATTTTACATAAGTTTTGTTCGTTACAAAAATAAATACTGCGAAAATGTGGTATTCAGTTGCACACACTCGATCGATTCTTGCGAAAAAAAAGTACTAAGGGACCAGTTCTCGCTTCGAAATTACAGTTGGAGGTTATAGGCGGTGTTCACAGCACGCAGAAACATGTCGACGCTATGTCGGCTAGATTGTAGGCGTCTCGAAGATTAAAGCTCTTTCATCTCTCTAGCTGTCTGCTGTCTCTCTTAGGCACGAACTATCTTAGTTGTACGCAATTGCGTCCAATTTTTGCGTGCGTTGAATCGCGTATATGCTGTTATGAATGACTCCTTTACATTTTTAAGACGTCATCTCATGATTCGTTTACTCCCGCTCTTCCCCTCCCCCCCCCCTGCCCTCTTTCACCGCTATCAAAATTAGAAGCCTACCTCCTTGTCGAAAAGCCTAAACGCGTCTCGCAATTCTTTTTGCAACGTTTCCTTGTCGACAGTGTTGGCGACGGTGTAGACAAGAGCGCAGAACTCGTCGAATTCCAGCTTTCCCGAACCGTCAGCATCGAATTTACGGATCAGCTTACGTAAGGTCTGAAACTCAAAAACATATTGACAACTGTCACAAAGAATGACAAGAAGAAGACAAAAGGCGAGTCACTTGTGCTGTCACATGCACTGCTCACTTTTGCTGACAAAAAGTGCAAATTTGCGTGGGGGAATGAGCTCGGTCCGTGAACTCACCTTTTCATCGAATTCCTGCTCCATAGCACGCATAATCTGACCGATCTGTGTGGCCATGATGTAGCCTTGCTTACCGCGATCGAAATCATCGAAGAATTTTTGGTATTCTAGAAAGTTGAGATTTGGGACGGAATGGTAAATTTTGAGTTAGAGCAACTTACCCTCCATCTGCTCCCCATCGATTTCAGCGAGGATCTCTTCGATATCTTCAGCCTGGAAGAAATAAAATTTTGTGAAGTCGTCTTTGGGCTTGAGAAAGGTGATTAACTTT